TGATAACAGGCTTTTAATGGGATTAATTATGACATGGATCGAGATGGCTTTCATCATGATACTTAGGTTTCTTTTTAATTTTTAATTATTATTTAAGTTTTTGTTATTTTTTGTTGTTGCATTTCCTTGTTATTTTATTGCATTTTCTTTTTTATTTTATTTTTATTTTTATTTTTCTTATTCAAATTTTGTAACAATCCTTATGTAATGAGAATTTTTAGATTAATGAAAGAGTTTTGTTATTTTCATCTGCTTATGTGATATTTTATAGTAAAATAGTAACTATCTAATACCTAGCTTAAGTAGCAATTTTTAGTTTCGATGCATGCTAATTGTTAAAATTATTTTTCTTTTCATACATCCAAAATATTCTAATGTGGTTCGATTGAGCCTTACCAATAGTTAAAGAGATTTACCGTAACCAAGTCACAACAAACTAAATATACTATGTAGGTTAGGCATTCGTAACTAAACATGACAAGCTTCAGAAAAAATCCAAACAAAATATCTCATTATTAAAGAGCATTATAATATGTATTCATTATTCAAAACTTGTAATTTCTCAATTGATTTCCGTTGCATTGTCTACACACACTGAGTCACATTTTTTCTTCTTTTTTTTAACAGAAAGCCTTTTAAGCCAACTTAAAAAAAATGATATATCATTTACAAAACCACATTGCAGTATATCCATTTTTTGTTTTTACCAGCCCGAATAATAACCGTTAGCCTAACTATTTTCATGCCATGCTTAGGCTAACTATTTTCATACCATGCTTAGAATTAGAAGTAATATATCTCAAAGATGTGCCTAAATTAATTTTGGGGTAACTATTGGAATATCAACCATTAAATTGGGGAGTCTGAGGAAGGCGGAAGCACCAATAAAACCAATGTTCTAGGATCACAAGAGAGTGAGATACCACATCTCAACCAAAAAATCTTAAGGTGTTAGGTAAATGAGTCATCTTTATTTTATAAATTCAACATTCCACCCATTCATAGGTGATCTGAGACTTTAACCCACTACTAAAAAAAACATTTAACCTCGTACGCGAAATGCATTTAGCCTCAGCTACGGAGGCGAGATAACGAAAAGTGTCATGAAAAGTGCATACTTTATCTCTTGGTTTTTAAAAAACCAACGGGTAAGTGAAGAGGTCATGGGTTCGATTTCCAGAGATATATAGTTTGAAATTCTAAAATGGCGAAAACACATGTCCCCTCGGTTTTGTAGTTTCACTGACGGGTATACCACACTTTCACCTCGTTTATATCATAAAATTGAGGGGTAAAATGAGTTTGAGTTGATTAAATCTAATGTGAATTGCTTATTTCACTAAACCCTATAGTGGATATATATAACTTCTCAAAATTAGTTTGAAAAATACTTATCTGAACAATTGTGTTATATTTGAAGATCAGCTTATATTGATTAATGATTTTGAAAGCATTCACATTGGGTCAAACTTTCACCCAAAGGTCAAAGACTCACCCAAATAAGTGAGCGAAACACCACATATTCACCCAAAACCTTAAGATGATAGGTGTACGGGTCCTCTTACTTATAAAGTGCTTAGCCTATAGTTTTCTAAGCAATGCGGGACTTAAAACTCACACTTATTTTTCCACACAACTCACACTTGTTTTCCAATAATCTCTCCCTCAAGTGTGAGTCCATCTACTATGCTCCCCTTAAGCGGAAGCTCTTTCATCCACATGCTTGTACCGCCGTTTAGAGACACCCTTATCTCGTCATGGGAGCTTCAATGAAACACGCCGTCTGACCAACATGTCAGGAGAATTTCAATACAAGGAGCCAGTCCCTTACTCGAACCAGGATCTGATATCCAGAGCCATCTTTGAGGGCGTGCAAGGCGGGCTACCGCACAGGGCCTCAAATTTGTCAGGGAAAAACTATAGTTAAATGGGGCCTCATAAAATAATTTTTAGGTTAAATCCTGGTTAAATAGGGCCTCTGTTTGTTTTTCCCTTGTTAAATTGTGACTAACCTACTCAGGGCCTCTAAAAACTTGAGACGACTCTGCTGATACCACTGATGGGTCATCACGAGGGGAAAACATTCATATTGAGTCAAACTTTCACCTAAAAGTCAAAGACTCACCCAAATAAGTGAGAGAAACACTACATATTCACCCAAAACCTTAAGGTGTTAGGTGTATGAGTCCTCTTACTTATAAAATGCTTAACCTCCACTTTTCTAAACAATGTGAGACTTAGAGCTCACACTTATTTTTCCAATAACTCACACTTGTTTTCCAACAAAAATATCTCCAATGTTTGAAGTTCTTTATTCAAGACATCCTTTTCTACTATTTCATTCTTGAAAGCATAAAACTTGATGCTTTGAAAAATGAACAAATACGGAAAACAGTTGAATAAAAACTAGAAGTATTGGAGAGATTTTAAAGATAAAACAATATGAGATGAATGATGAGTTGTAGAATGTTAGAGAATTATTAGCCCATGTAAGATAAGTTTCAAATACAACATAATTTTGCATATGATTATTTTCAAAATCAATTTATTAGGTTATATGTTCAAAGAGGGATTAGTGAATAAACAATTGGCATTAGATATAATAAACTCAACTCAATAGAACAAGATGAAAACTACACAAAGAATCATAAAAAACATAATCTCAATATCAATATCAAAAACAAAAACAACAAGAAAACAACAATAACGGTAATAAAAATATCAAGAACAACAACAATATCAATAACAACAACGTCAATAAACAACCTCAACAACAACAAAAACAACAAGAAAAACTTCAGGATTTTAGATCTGAAAAATATCTCCACAACAACAACAACAATATTAATATTGATGTTTGACGTACTAGATCTCTGTAAAAGAAGTAAAAGAAAATAATTTAGATCTCTAAATAAGAAACGAGGAGACTAAACACATAACATCTTCGTATTGAAGATGCTACTTGTTTATGACGCTCGTTGTTTATGGCTCTCTATTTAGGGTTCTGCTTGTGTTGCTTAGATAAATAAAACTGAATGCTACTAACTATTGTCACATCGGTTGGAAAGAAAATCGAGGTGAAAAGTAGCATATTGTTAGATTCAAAATAAAATATTCAAGAAAATGTCACTTTTAATGAGATAAAAACATAAAATGAGGCTGATGGGATTCTAAGCATATACACCGAATATGTTTACCCCTTGGTTTTCAGAAAAACCGACAAAATATATTAAATATATTTTAAAAAAAAACAAGGTTCGTCCAGGAATTATACCTTGGTTTTACAATAATTAAGGTGAAAGCTTCGCCATGAAATATAGTATTTGTAGTAGTGACCACTCACACTTGCACCCAACATTCTCCCTCATAAGTGTGAGTCTCCCACATCCTATAACATGATCTAACACCGGATCTAGCTCCCGCTCCCCCACAAAGGCAAACCACGTATGTGATACGATTGTTGGGGAGTTCGAAAGAGTCGGGAGCATCAATGAAACCAATTCTCTAGAACAACAAGAGAGGGAGTCACCACATCTCAACCAAAAACATTAAGGTGTTAAGTAAATGAGTTATCTCTCTTATAAATCCAACATTTCATCCATTCACAGACAATATAAGACTTTAACCACTCACACTTGCACTCAACACAAATATGAAAAAAATAGAGTTGAAAAATCAACAAACTTGAGATAAAAAGAGATATAATAAATTACTCAAAAAGATATTGAAAACCACATGGAAAATAAAAGAAAGAAAAACAATAAAGTAAAAAGGTTGAAATTTTTTAACAAAAGAGAACTCAATAAAAAGAAAATTCCTAGAATAATTTTGTATTTTAGACGTAGTTAATGAGAATAATATGCTAGACTCCAAGATTTAGCCTATTATCCAATGTATCGTACCAGGAGCCCTAACTCCATTACAACCTTAAATAACTTTAAAAAATTGTATGTTATTGCATATTGTTATATGTACATAAAATATTCAAGCATATGACATAATAATATATATTGCGAATTTTGACTGAATAAAGACATAAATATTTGAGAGATTTGGTGAGAATGTGTAGAGAGATGACAACTGAAATAATATCATCAAGTGAAAATGTAGGAACTTTTTCTTATTTTTCATTGTATCCCAGCGTCGATGCAATAACCCTTATTCTTTTGACAATGTACTCGAGCCATACAACATGTTGCTTTCGAACGACGATATAACATTCACATTATTTCATAGTTAATCCATATCATAACGATTCAAGAAAATTTTACGTTAACTGTCACATATTTAACACAATACTAATATTATTTTATCTGAACCTATCACCAATTATGCATAACAAAATTAACACAGACAAAATTAAAAATTTATCTATACGAAGATCGTGAAAAAAAATAATAACTATATCAAAATTTTGTAGTTTAATCTTTTACCTTTTATATTTTTTATTGATATTTGCGAGAAAGATTATGTAAAGATTTTAAATTATATAAAAAACATTTTTTTAGTATTATCACTAAATCCTTAATAAATTTGAATGTATCTAGATTTCGTTGAACTACTGGATTTTGTTGAGCTGAGTGTGAAAGTATATTTTTATTTTAAAATTATATAAAAAACATTTTTAATATTATCACTAAATTTTTAATAAATTTAAATGTAACTAGATTTCGTTGAGTTCTAACTAAAAAGGTGTGAAAGTATATTTTATTTTAAAACTATATAATTTTTTTTAATAATATCACTAAATTTTTAACAATTTTGACTTTAATTAGATCTTGCAGGACTGAAAATGAAAAAAGGTGTAAAAGTAAGCAAGAGAGTCCAAATAGTAATTTCCAACAGATTAATTAGGGCATTAGATTTTGAAATTGAATCCAATTTCAGAATTTCCCCTGTTCTCTCTCTCTATCTGAAGTAAAAATCACTTTTTTTTTTCTCTTCTTCTTTTCGGTGTTACTGCAAATCGTGATTTTTGAATGTGAAAGAAAAAGTAAACAATGGCCGAAACCGAAACCGTTATGGCGACGAAACCAAGAGTTCGCCGTTTCGTAAGATTTGGGATTTTTCTAATCTCTCACAGTAACTATGTTAGGTACACTCTTCTCTTCTTCTGAATTTGTTATATGTTTTTCTTTTCTGAATTTGAATTTGAATCTGATTGCAGCATGTTGCTTTTTCAGCTTCATTGGTTTCGTATCAGGAATCGTTGCTCTTCTTCTTCTACCTATACTCGCTAAGAATACTTACATTTCCGAAAATGCCCTCATGCCAGGTTACACTCTCTCTATTTCCCCAAATCACTATTTTTTCCTCTTATTATTAGGTACTGTGTGTATAAATTGCTCAATTAAGCACTTATCATGTAAGTGATTATTTATAAGCTATTTTTGGATCAAACGAAGTTGAACTGTTTTTATATAAGCCCATGTTTGGATAAACAACTTAATTAAACACTTATGCTGTGAATGTTTATTTATAACAAAAGATATAATAAAGTCATTTTTTTTTCTCTTCATATAAGGTGTAAACTGATTTTATAAGTTATTATGGAGAGTTTATAAAAATAAGCTGAAAAAACTTATGGATATGTCATATGTTGTTTGTTGTTTTCATAAGCTACTTGCCCGGTACACGTACTGTACTTGGTACTTTCTTTTTTCTCATTGTTCCATTTGGAATGAATTTTGTGGTTTTCTCATTATTCCATTTGGAATAAGTTTTGTAAGCTGAAAACAACTTATTGAATAATCTGTCTGTTTCTGCAGGTTCTGCTAACAACATGCTCTCTACTCAACATGTTTCCCACGCTACCGAATTCGTCAATGATTTAACTGATTCTGTTGGGTAACTCTTTCTACTTCTATTTTCACATGTTTCTAATTTCATTTTTACATATCTGTTATACTCTGCTGTTAAAAATATAACATTTCTAATTTAAATTTAGAGTAGCATACTAGTATGCATTACTACTGCTCAAGGTTTTTGATAATGTGTGCTATAGCAATCTGGGACGTTATATCGTGATTTCTGATGTAGCATGACTGTATTGTGACTAGAATTGAGGTTGCACAGTTGTGATTCTATGCAATATCGAGAATTGTGACCTCTGCTGTTACTAACTGCGGCCATGATTTAAAAACTTGCTATAGTATAAACCAATTCTACACTCACATCTGATGAGTCAACTATCCGTGTCAATTTGTTTGTCATGTTAGTTCACTCCTGTGATTACTTGATAAAATTAATAATATGAACTGGTAAAGTAGTGGACTTTCATTGGATGGTTTGGAACTGGTTTACACTAAAAGTAGTGAATGTAGCTTAAACTCTTCATTTTTTATGTTATGCCACTGTCTAATGGGTTTTCTGTGTAAAAAGTCATAGAGATTAGAGGTAGAGTCGTAGATATTGCATGAATTGTAGATTTTTTGATACTTCTTTTTTCATTACTGTTTATTGAGAGGATTATCCTAGCTTCTTTCAATCTCTGTGATGTTGACCATACTAGTTTGTGAAGCTTCTTATACTTTTGTCAGAAGAGAATTCATACAAATATTATTTTGTTTGTTGTGGCCTTTGGAAGTCCTGCTCAAATGGGCAAAAGCTACACAAGTGAAATCTTTCGACCAAACTATGAATTGAAATTTCATGAACTCCTAACTGATCAAGCACAGATGTTAGTGTTTGTTTGGTTGGGGGAGGAAAAGAGAGGGAGAGTTGGCCTGACAAGAAATAAGAGGACATTGAGTAAATTAAATATAACATTTGCTATGTGTTTCAATGCAGTGAAAGTCATAAAATTGTTGCACAGTATATGTCAGCGTTGGATGCTGAGGTTACTTATCACAAGTTCCATCCTCAACTGAATCAATTTCATCCGTTGCACTTTTTCACAAGTCCCGATTCGGGTATAGTCTCAAAAAATATAAGCTGTTCATCACTTGGAATCAACATTGCTGGAATAATTAGAGCACCACGGGGTGATGGCAAGGAATCTATTGTCTTGGTAACACCTTACAATCCAAGGAAAGTTGGTCCTGGAGAGGCTTTGTCTTTGGGCATTGCTTACTCGGTGTTCTCACTGCTTTCACGGGTTACTTGGCTGGCAAAGGACGTCGTATGGCTTGTGGCAGATTCACAATACGGAGAATATTCTGCAGTGGCTGCTTGGCTAAGAGAATACCAGGCTCCTGCATTCCGTGAAGCTGACATAGATAATAGTGAAACTTGCAATGCTATTAATGAACTTGGACAAAATCCTTCTTCTGATAGGAAGTTATACGGTGGTTTTAGACGTGCTGGAACTATGGCTGCAGCTCTTGTAATAAAAGTTGCTGAACAAGGTAACCGTCATGAAGACATTCTTAATATCTACCCTGAGGCGTCAAATGGGCAGATGCCAAACCTTGACCTCATCAATATTGTAAATTATCTCGGAGTGCATAAACGTGGTTTGCGGGTAAAAGTGAATAAGATGTTTTCTCTATTTGGCTCTAGGTGGCTTAATACTTTGGGTGGTATATTGGAATCTCTGGGACAAATTGCTAGGAGCTTGAATCCTCAATGGAAGTTTGGTATTTCTGCTACTGAGTATGTTGAGGGTGCAGCTACACTGGCAAGTTCATTGTATTTACAGGTATTTTACTTTTACTCCATCTAAAGCGCCCACGTGTGTATACTATGTTATCATCATAAACTTTATTTATTTGTATATCATTCTTCTCAGGGGTTGGGTGTTCCCACTGGTCCTCATGGTGCCTTCCGTGATTACCAAGTTGACGCAATCACTCTGGAAATTTCACCAAAAATTTCTCCTAATAAAATGATCAGTCATAGTCGTAATGAATTTATTCTCCGTGGTGGAAGGTATGTGTCACTCATTCTAGTGTTACTTATAACAATCTTCGAAGAAATGACGGGCTATCTATGGAAACATGTATTGCAATTGACACCTCCGATATGACATCCCCGATAACTCTTTACTTTGCATGTGTATAACAAAATCCACCGTTGATATTCATGTCTAAAAAGTTTTACATTAATCGGAAATCATTTTTTATGCTATGCCAATGAGATACATTTTATAGACGTTAATCTATATGTATCTCATTGACATATCAAATGATTTCCAGATAATGTTACATTTTATAGACATGGTTTATATGATAGTAACTTTCAATTGAAGAGTAAAATTTTAATATGGATATCGGGTTAAGAATTATCAAAAGTGTTATACATTAAGTGTATTTGGTGTTGGTTATGTCCTTCTGTATATGTTTGTTTTCCATTTACTATCATGAAACTGTACAAAATTATATGTATCTTGTGTTTGTTTACTAAAGAAAGCGAGAAAAGTCTATGTAATTATTTGAAGGCACAGCTAAGTCTGTGTCGTCATAGATAAATTATCGTTAATTCTACTAGGAAAGCTGAAGAAGCTTTAAAAGTATATTTTCACAATTGTTAGATGAGATGAAAAAATTAAAACCTTTAATATGACCAATTTTATTGGGCAGTGATCTATATCCTTATTATTTCTTTTTTCAACAGGGAGTTGTGATTTTGATGGCAAACTATTAGTATCATATATCATGTAAAGACTTTAGCTGTGTAGAATATTATGTTATTTAGCTTTTAACATTTTATGAATTTGTATAATCTATATCTCTGCTTGTGTACTTGTTGCAGGTTGATTGAAGGAGTCGTACGCTCAATAAACAACCTTCTTGAGAAGTTCCATCAGTCGTTCTTTTTGTACCTCTTGACATCTTCTAGTAAATTTGTGTCTGTGGGAGTTTACATGATTCCATTTGCATTGCTTATTGCACCACTTCCGATAGTTGCGGGATCTCTCTATGCCGAAGCGACCAAATCCATACCTTCCTCTGAAGTTGTTGTCAGACACAGTTCTTGGAAATGGCTGAACTCAGCCAGAAAGGTTTTGGCCATTCATTTATGGGGTGCTGTTGTTTCCTTACTCCCATATTTCCTATATCAAATACCGAATTCCACCCCAACAACAAACATTACAGTGTGGGGTTTACTATCAGCTCTTAGCCTCCTAATTTTATACTTCGTATTGGGTTCTCCAATTTTCGAATCCGCTACATCCCAACCCGAGAAAGACGAATGGGCCAGCTTAAAGTCTGTAACAATAGCAACCGCTTTCATTGGTTTATCTCTCATGTCAGTAATTAACTTCGCAACAGCAGAAATCGGAGCATTACTCATTGTCCCAATTTGTTTGATTGCTCGACCGTTGAAGCTTGATATTCGATCCAGGAGTTTCAGAACCTTATCGAGGGCCGCATGTAATCTTGCTCTAAGTCTTATTGTGTTTCCTCCAGTAGCATATTTTTTAATAAAAGGCGCATTTGAAGATTCTTATGGTGTTAATGTTGGTGATTATTGGAACTGGGTGGAATCTCTTTGGACATGGAACAGTGCTACTTACCTCTATGTAGGCATAGTTCATCTACCATGCTGGGCACTTTGTATTCATATTTTATTTCATCCTTGTTGACATGTAATTTTATTTATTCGACAATTAATTTTAATCCCAAAAATTTACTGTTTTGATATTTTTTTTCCTTTTGTATAGTATTTTTAAACATTGCTTCATAGCCACAACAGTGACCAACTTGTTGAAAACAAAAGTAACAAAATTACAACTTTTTCCCATGTGCTTCTAATGTGCCAGCACTTCATGAAATATACCACCAACCATTTATTTATTTATAAATATTATCATCAAGCAAAATAAAAAGTGAGTTCATAAATAGGAATAAAAAGCGAGCACAAAATGTAACTACCAAATAATGTAAACTATAAATATTTTCAAGTTCCATGCATTTGATAAAAAAACTCTCCTAACTAATTGCTCATAACTATTTGTCAGTTACAAACAACCTCCATTAGGTACTACTTCCCCAATCCAACACCAAACTCTTAATAAGTCAACATGCCTACCATTCACAAAAAGGCTTGTTACAAATTCATCAAATCTAAATTAGTTGCCAAGTTCCTCATCTTTCTTTAATGTTGTAAAAACAAAAATAAATTATAAGAAAACAAAAACATAAAGACTTCAATAGGATTGGTCAATTGACCCAAGACACCATGCTAGTTTTACAAATATAAAAAAAAAAAAGAATATTTCTGTTTTTTTTATTAAACGAATAATTAGTGAGAAGTTTCTAATTTAATTTATTGTAAAAAAAAAAAAATCTTCATTAAATACTCTATATTATTGCTCAATGATGAATTTTGATTATTAGTGGTTAATTTTACATTGTAATAATAATAATAAACTGTTAAATTAAATGATATATTGATCTAAATTATTCTTTTTTTTAAATTATTCATTTTAAAATAATAATTTATTTATATTAATATATAAATATAAATAAATATTGTCAACATATATTAAATTAAATATTAATAATTTATATTAATTAATACATGCCAATTGACTTTATTAACGGTTGAAATCATGTATCTTCAAATACTTAAAAAAAAAAAAAAGACACAATAAATCTTCACAAAAAATCATAAAATTTTAAAGCATATATATAAACGTCTATATTATATATTTTCTATTTTATTTTTAGTGAGGTGAATTCGAATCCAATTATAAACATACAACAATATTAAATTATTTATAGAAATTTTTTTATTATCTATTATAATCTTATTTGTTTCGAGCAATTATTTTCTACAATTTTACATAAAGATTACATACTTAATAATATTTTAAACTTAAATTTCTAACAAATTGCTTTTTCTTTAAGTATAATTCATCTACTTACTATTTAAGTCATAACAATGAATAATTTTATTTAAATATTAAAACACAATATATTATTTTCTACCTTCTAAAGCTTACATGTAATTCAAGAAATACATATAAAAATCAAAGAAAACTTTGTTTGACATCAAAATTTTCATCTTCAAAAATAATTTCTATGCATGATAATTAAGAAAAAAACATTAACTCGCCAATTTCACACGCAACAAGAAAAAAAAAACAGCACTAACTTTTAGACATCTCAACTAAGTTACAAAAAGGAAGACACACTCTTCAATCTTAATATACCCAAAACACAAAAACAAATCTTGTTTCACTCTTAACACTCACACTTAACACTTTCACTTTTTGTAGCAATTCACAAGACTCTAGAAACTTTTTGTCCATAGCTTCACTTTAACCTTACTTTGTGGATAGTATTTCAACAAGTTTCTTGCTAAATTCTTAATTAAGCTATTGGGTTTATGAGTTTTTGAATTTTGATTATTGGGTTGCTATGGATCTGGTTGGATCTTCAACTTGTGAGTGCTACAAAGTTGAAATGAATGTTAAAGTTTCGATTTTTATGAAGTGATTTAGCTTTTGAGTCAATTTGAAATGGTGGGTCGGTTTTAGTTTGAAAAGGGTTGTGGTAGAATATGAAGAAGAAGGTTGTTCAGCAAAAATGGCAGAAGAAGGTTTTTGGTTTGATCTTAGTGGTGGTGCTTTGTTTTGGAAGTTTATTGTTTATGCAGATGAGGTATACTCATGTTTTGGGGCTTGTTTCATTGCAACATCAGTTTGTTTCTCAATCTCAAGTTCAGAAACCAAAGATTGCCTTTCTTTTCATTGCAAGAAATAGGCTTCCTTTGGAAATGGTTTGGGATGCATTCTTTAGGGTACATTCTTTTTTTTTCTTTATTTTTTTTCCTTCTTCTTTTCAATTATTAATATTATTGATCTCTTTGTTATTTATTTATGTTTTTTAATCATGTGTGTGTGCGCGCGCACACACATATGGACTTGGTGATTAGAAACTAAGAACTTGTGACACTTCAAGCTACCATTGGATAGTTATCGAGATGTGCTGCGCCTTGTTCCGCGTAGTGTGTTTGATGTTACGCGTTTATAGGCAAATGTTTGTGGTTAGTTTGTTAGTAAGAATCCAATCTAAATATCGGGCTGCACCTTCAGGGACATGTTGATGTTGCTCGGATCTGATGCATTGGTCTTTTTAGTCTTTCGCATTGGTGTATCCCTTCGCGTTTGATACATTTCACATTGATAAGCTTAATAGTAGTTTTCAAAGAGGTTAGATGCATGTCTATAGGGTTCTATTAAAAGGAAATTTTGATTTCTTTTGATACATTGCTAAGTTCATTTGCGATGAACAAGATGCTCATTAATGCTTCTTTTTCATATAATGCTTCTTGCTTAATGTCGAGGTTGTCAATTCTTTACAGAAACATTTATGCTGTATTTTCAGGGAGGCGATAACAATTTCTCGATTTTCGTTCACCCTAGACCAGGGTTTCTGTTGAATGAAGCAACAACTAGATCATCATATTTTTTGAACCGTCAAGTTAATAATAGCATACAGGTTTCTCTTCTTTCTCTCTTTTTGAAACCAAATTTATATGATGGAATCAATAAATCGTTATAGTTGACATGATCTCTTTGCAGGTAGATTGGGGAGAAGCAAGCATGATAGAGGCCGAGCGCATTTTACTTAGACATGCGCTCGGCGATCCTTTAAATGACCGCTTTGTTTTCCTCTCAGATAGGTGAGGGTATAATTTTGTTAACAACCGTAAACTTTGATCATTATAAGTACTCACTACACCCATACATTTCAATAGAAGAAATAAATAACCATTGAAATTTCTCAACTTTTGAGCTAGCACCTTACTATATTTCAGTTGGTTGATTTTCTTTTCAGCTGTATACCTTTATACAACTTCAGCTACACATATGATTACATCATGTCAACACCAACTAGTTTCGTCGATAGGTGAGTTCGTATACATACTTGCCTTATGCTCTATACTTTCATTTCAACGGTTAGTTTTGTAAAATATGCATCGAGTAAAACATTATTTAAGTTGTTTGTTATGAATTTGCTGTTATTAAGCTTTGCTGATACGAAAGGAGGTCGTTACAATCCAAAAATGAATCCAGTTATTCCGGTCTATAATTGGAGAAAAGGATCTCAGGTAAGAAATCTAACGTAACGTGTCGTTTACTATATAAGTTCGTTCTGAATCTTAAAATGCATTACATTTTTTGCTAAATGATACCATCTTTACACCTTTTGATTTATGAATTTTCCGCAGTGGGCTGTTCTGACTAGGAAGCATGCAAAGGTTGTAGTCGAGGACGAAACTGTCTTTCCTATGTTTAAAAAATACTGCAAGGTAATAGGTGACATGGTTCATTGATAAACTGTCTTTTATAAGCCACCGAGGTTGGTGCGTATAATGTGTGTGTTGTAAATTCCAGAATACCGAGTTTTATGAGTTTGTGTCACATGGATCATAATTTTTTTCCCTTAAATCTCATCTCAAATTTTCATCGAAAACATTGGATTCGTTGTCGAAGAATGTTGTGCAACTTTATGTTGATAGCCTTACTCTTGTTTTCATCTCTAAATGCAGAAAAAGCCGCTACCCGAATTTTGGAGGGATCAAATCATTGTAAGTACTCTATACAAACAAACTTATTTAAGTTGTCTTCATTTTACCGCATTAGCTTCAATACATTTACTTTCTTCGTGCAGCCTGCTGACACGTCGAAGGTGCATAACTGTATACCAGATGAACACTATGTTCAAACATTGCTGGCTGTAAGAACCATTTCTTTATCTTTCTGTGAACACTATTGCATTTCTTTCAACTCAAATACAGCATCTTTTGATCGGATTTTTTTTGTGTTTTTCATACTGAATCTAGCAAAAAGACCTTGAAAAGGAGCTCACGCGAAGGTCGGTGACACATACTGCCTGGGATATTTCCAACTCAAGAGACCGTGAGCGCCGCGGATGGCATCCAGTGACTTACAAATTCTCAGACGCTACTCCGATGCTTATAAAATTTATAAAGGTTTGAACAATACTTTAAAGATAAAAATTAGCATAGCAAAATTTGAACAAGTCATTATCATTCTGCTGCCGACAACATTGTTGTTGAATCATACTAGGACAGCTCATATAGAGAGAAGCCACATACTCATGAATATGATTGTCGGTTTTTGATTTGTTTGCAGGAAATAGATAATATTTACTACGAAACTGAATACAGAAGAGAATGGTGTACAAGCAAGGGTAAACCATCAACATGCTTCCTTTTCGCAAGAAAGTTTACTAGGACTGCAGCTTTGAGGCTTCTTAACATGGTAAGTAGCAGGATCTGTTAGGATTAGCTTATTTGAACATGTTTACCGACATAATCATTTGTGAGACTGTTGGAGGAAACTTTTGAAAGCAACGATGAAATGTCCATAAGCTGTTTTCAGATTATTTCTATAATGATAAACACTTATGCAATAAGCTCTTAATATTAGGTGTTTATACAAACATGCTTTTAGTTTAAGTGGTTAATTATTTTCTGAGTTTCTTTTGGACAGTCTGTTCTGGGAGATTTCAGTTAAGAGAAGAAAATGCTTATTGCTGGTGGCTGATACAAGAAGAACATGTACTTAGTATAGAAATTTGAGGGAGAAAAGAGAATAAAGCAAAGGCAATTGAAGATTGTTGACTACCACACTTATATGTATAGAAAAAAATGTTTGTGACACTCATGCATATTATTTGTCTAGTTTGGTAATATAGTTTGTTAACCTTTAAAGAAACCTTAAATATGTCTAGTTTGGTAACATTGTTTCTCCATAAAAGAGAAAGTGAGTTTAAGAAAGTATAATGCTTTGCTCACTACTCTTGTACTTGTTTCTTGAGTTCGGTTTAATGTTATAGACAACATTTAACTAAAGGTCATTCAATATGCTGATTGAACTTATATGGTCTATTGGATGAACTTACATAGTGCTTTAGTGATGCATGTAAATTTTGTTCTCAAAACAATGTTGACATTCGATAAGTTTGAAGCAGCCATAAAGCATGGTCTCAAACCACCATCTATATAAGTTTCATCAACAAATTAGATGAGGTTCCAAACCGCCATCTTGAAAACTTCGCAGTCATAAGCTCTGGAATTGTGCCCTGCAGACTGATTGTCATTGCCGCCCTATGGGGTAATAAAGATCTTTGCCGCCCTACGATACAATTGTATGTTGAATCTTCACTAAAAGATCTTTGTCGTCCTACGAGGGAATTGTATGTTGGACCTTCGTCGAAGGATTCTTGTCGCCATTTAAGAAATTGTATAATGGACCTTCATCGAAGGATCCTTGCCGCCCTACGAGACACAGGGACGGATCCACATTTTGTATATTGGGGGTACTTGCCCCCACTAAAATATATTATTTATTTGTTATATTTTATTGAATTAGGATATTTTTTATATTTATTTTTATTAAAAATTTACTATTGCCCCCACTATAAATATTAAATTATTTTATTTGTGTAAATATTAAATTTTTTATATATAATTATTGAACACATAAACATAAAAATACATATTCGATAGCTAAAAAATAAAAATAAATCATACTTAAATATAAACATATTTAAATAGCAGACATCGAGTTATCTTTATTTTTTTTGATATAAAATAATATATTTTTCTATTCTTCAATTATTAACTCATTTATTATTATTTTTTATTATTATTTAAGTTATTGATTTATAAATATCAACAATTTGTTTTTCTATCACAAGTAATTAAATTCTAACCAAATTACACATTTAATTCAGCTAGTACATTCAATTTGAGCTACCTTTAATTATTATTATTATTATTATTATTATTATTATTATTATTATTATTATTATTATTATTATTATTATTATTTTACCCCCACTAAAAAAAATCTGGATCCGTCCCTAACGAGGCAATTATACATATGACCATCACTGAAGGATCCTTCTTGTCCTACGAGGCAATTAAATGTTGGATCATCCTTGAAGAATCATTTCTGTCTTACGAGTAGATTATACGTTGGACTTACTTTTACCGAAGGATCTTTGCCGCCTTACGAGGCGATTATAGATTGGACATTCATTAAACAATCTTTGTTGTTGTGGTAATTTATGAACAATAAAATTCCATGAGTGTGTTCCAAAATGACAAGAAAAGTGGAAGTGAGTAAATGCTAATAAATGCTTGGAAAATAGTCACACATAGAAAGTTTCACTCATTTTAAAAGCCTTTATAATGAGTTGTGAACATTAACTCAACAAAAGGACAAAAGAGGATAAAGTGTCACATGGATAAGTGTGGTGGTCCCAAGCATTATGACACTTGTCTCCTCCATACACCCCTTGCGGCGTCACCAAGCCCGAGGGCGTGGGCGTATAGGCGTTTGTGGCGGCTTGTAGGTGGCACTTGAGCACTTACTCGCAACTTTATATGGTGACGCTCCGACAGCCGACGACCTGCATATGGTAAATGACTGTTACTCTTATTTTTTGTTGTTGCTTGAGTTTGATTTTGAATTCGTGAAGTGTTGCTAAATGAAAAATTGCAACTATTGGAAAGCGTTGCTATAGGTGAAATAACACAACTATTGGTAAAGTATGTTGTTTACCAGGACCTTGTCAAGTTGGATCATTTCGATGGAACAAACTTCACCCGTTGGCAAGACAAGGTGACGTTTATATTGATTGCCTTGAAAATTCACTATGTCTTAGATCCTTATTTGACACTAATTCCAGAATCGACAGAAGATGACACCGATGTAGTCAGGAAAGAACGAAATAAGCAAAAGGAAGATGAATTTTTATGTCGTAGACATATTCCGAATGAATTATCCGATCTTCTCTATGATCTGTACACAGATACATAATCTGAAATAGAGATCTGGAAAACACTCGAATTCAAATTCAAGGCTAAAGAGGAAGGTACGAAAAAGTTTTTAATATATAAATACTTTGATTTTAAAATGTTAGACTCTAAGCAGATTCTTGCACGAGTTACAGGTTCTTGTGAATAAAATAAAAGTTGTAAAAATAGACATTTTAGAAGCTTTCAAGTTGGTGCACGATACAATAAGAAATTGTTGCATAGTTCTAAGGATTTCTGACCGGTAAATTAGCAAGTGTACTAATTATACCGATGTAGTAATAAGGGAAAATTCCCCGAATGTCGATCTCTGAGGACTGCGTGTAAAATTTTAGGTAAGCTTGTTATTTCAATCAGACAAAATAACCCTGGGTTTCGTTTGGCAACGGGATACAGGAATAAGTAAAATAATAGACTTTATAGATTAAAATAAGATCAATGTTAGGGAAGTGGATAAATTGCTAGTAAAGACCTTAAAGAATTATTCTGAGATATTTGTTTCCAACCTTAAACAGTCAAATTTCAAAAGTAGTTTTCCTTAATTCCTTAATGAAAAACCCTTTGATGAATTTCATGCACACTAACTCCTTAGTTGCCCACGAAAATCATCAAGCAATAGTTCTGACATAAAAACATGTTGCTACGGGATACCCCCATTCCTAGGCTATATCAACCGTAACGTTATTTTGCAAAAGCATTAGGTCGACTTTCCAGACAAAACCTAATCATAAGTCACATTCTATTTTCCAATATGAATTAGCATAAAGATCGTTGCAAAATAAAAGCCATAAGGTGAACAACAAAAATATCATATGATAATTCCAACAAAGGTCAATACATCGCAATTTGGGACCACCCCCTAACAATTGGGGGTTTAGCCACTCATGTTCTTAATGAAAACAATTGTGCTTAGAAATATAAAGTAAGAGATCATTACAATTGAAATTGGGGGACTTGGATCATCAATTGCTTCCGCTCTTGATCGATCCTTCGTTCTTCCGAATTCTCCTGCTTCAGTTCTCTCCTTCTAATCCTAATCCAAAAGTGCCTCTTTTCTTTCCAAAATACCACTAATATAACTCAATTCAAATTACATGATAGAATGTCTAAAATGCCCTTCAAAATGGCTTCAATAGTGAAAAATCATAAAAACAACATTTTCATCATCAGTGGCCCTGACACGGGCCGTGTTGTGTGACACGGGTGGCCGTGTCAGGCTGCTGTAACGCAAAACAAGAGAAAAAAGCATCAGGGGCTGCAACACGGGCCGTGTTGTGTGACACGGGCACCCGTGTTGCTCTTCTGTTTCCAAATCTTCTTTTCTCCTTTTCACCCGTGTCCTCCTGGCCGTGTCCCTCCTGACACGGGCCGTGTTGTGCAACACGGGCACCCGTGTCAGGCCTCTGACTTGTGCTTTTTCGGCTTTTCTTTTCCTTCAAAACAGTACGGATGTCCGGCCACCGATTCCTGCCAAAAATACACTAAAAGAAACCAAATCAAACGCACCGGCGGCAAAAGTAATAAAGTTATTAAACTAAGACTCATGCGAAAACACTGCAAATAACTAAGATAAAACAAACCAAAGACTTGATAAAACGGATAAACAGTGCGAAACCAACGACAAACATAGTTTGAAAAACACAACTAAAATCCGCCGATCAAACTCCCCCAAACTTAAACCATTGCTTGACCTCAAGCAAAAAGCTTGGATAAATAATTTTCAAGTCCAACACTACATCAAGTGAAGGGTTCAGGGTTGTAAGGCGTGTCGATACTCATACGTGAGTCTTAGTTCCGATCGGCTCAAACCAGCTCTCTCGGTACTCATCCGTTAACGAAGGCATTACATAAACACGTACCGCAGTAAACTTACGGACCTAAATCACCCTTTCGGCCACCTCTCCAACTATGCTTTGGGCTTAAGTCTTTTATTCGATTTTCTACCCCTTTCATTCGGATAATCACATTAAGGCATGCACATTTGCTCGAGATTTTTTTCTGTGGCACCTTTATTCTTTTTATCGCTTACATGCGTTTATTAGTCCACTTCGGGACGACTATAGAGATTCAACCGCCGTTAGGCTAAATAACCGGGTGAGGGTTACCCAACTTAGAAGGACAGGTTGTCTTTATCGTCATTATTCAACTCTTCTTTTTTTTTTGGTGCCACACATCATTCTCACAATCAATATCTACCATTTTTTTTCATGCCGGACTATCATAATGAACTAATCGGGGTATACTTTTCAAATCCAAGTACTATGGTACAAATCTACACGTTGGACTCGTTTCCTTACTCTGGGGAACCTAGGGTGTTCAAGTTATACCTCAATTTCCAAACTTTCCCAAGTTCCTTAGTTCAAACCCCACTTCCCTTTGAACTCTAAATACTTTCTAGACTACCTTACACACCTACCAATCACAAGAAAAAATGTTACGGTCTCCGTAGGGGCGAATTCGATGTGATTTTTACCGAACTTAAAAATAAAATGGTAAAACCTCCCCCAAACTTGAACTAAACATTGTCTCAATGTTCAAGAATCAAGAGAAGAAGAGGTGTACTCACAGAGATCCTCACAGAGTGGTCGACAGGTACTGCAGTACCTCTTCGCTGCTTCCACGTTTTCCCTTGTAAAATCTCGTTTATTCCTGCAAAAACAATAACAATAAAAGAAACAACATCAATTTATA